ACGTCCTCTCTCTCTCTCTATTCAATGACAAATAATTACTTCCCCCCATTTTAAGCATTCCCCTACTCAAACAATCTTCCCCATGTGCTTGTTAAAGTTTAAGAACAAAACTAATTTGATATTTTTTCTAGAGAAACTTACCCTTTAATCTCCTAAAATAATAATAATAATAAAAAAAATAGAAAATATGTAACGAAACTATTTACTTTTGATACAAGGTGGTCATAATTAATTTTGATCATTTGATATAATTGGGTCAATGCATTTACTTCATTGATCAAACTGAAAGATCAAAAGAAATTTTTTTGAACTTTGTAACACTCCCGAGCTGTCAGACTTTACATCGGATAGTTATAAATAATTGTGGCCTCACTATACTAAAGGTAAAATCTCATTGCATGCAATTCCAAAAAAAATCACTCCTATTTTCGTATATTACATGCACAATACCTTTTTAAAATTTTATTGAATTGTGCCCTCATTTTGGATATCAAAATCCAAAGTGACAAAACTAGTTGTTGCTTTCGGATTTTTAATATATCCGTTCATGTTTAAATTTTAAAATGCCTATTTTTTAGGTTGAAAAAAAAGAAGTGATTTTCGATTCTTAAACTATAAAGATACTATAACTTGAAATTTTCAAAATCTGAAGTCATTATGTTTTTTTTTTATTTTTATCTCAAAAAATAACTTTTAAAAAATTTAAAAATAAGTACAGATATTGAAAATTCAAACTCACTCCGATTTTAAATTTTCAATATCTAAAATGACTTCATGTTATTTTTCTTTTATCTAAAAATTTTGACTTTTAAAATTAAAAAAAAAAAAGAAGAAGATATTGAAAATCTAAAGTCACCGACTAGCTTTATGGTTTTGGATTTTTTACATCCAGAGTGAGGACAAAAATAGGAAAAATAGAAAAGCGTCTAGAAAATATGCGTTTGATATATAAAAATTAGAAAATTATTGTAATTGCAATAATTATGGGATATATAAAGTAAACTTCTCCTTTTCCTACTATTGCCAACTAAGCTCATTCACATGTTTTGCCCCTTGCAATATGCTATTTTCATTCTCTCTCTAGCACCACCCAGGCCCCTATATAAAACCCAGGGAAATTTGTTAAAATACATCTAAGATTAACCATTTAACATTTTACCCTTTTGTTTTGAACAAACTCAAGGGATTGTACACTATGACAACATTTTTTTAGTTCAAGAAGGTGCCAATTATTTTTGGCTATTGGAAATGAAATCTAATAAATAAAAGTATATTACATTCAAAAAAATTTATCTTGAAAATTGTGTTTCAACAAGCGTTTTAAAAAACGCCGAGTCGAACCGGACTCGCCCGGTTCGACTCGAAAATCGTGAAAAAGGAAACGGATCGCCCAAAAATCAAAAATCGTCCGGTTCTAGAGAGAACCAGACGATTCTGTACAGTGAATCGCCGATTCACTGTACGGAATCGGCGAGTCCGAACAGTGAATCGGCGATTCCGTTTTACGGTTTTTTTTTTTTTTTTTTTTTTTTTTTTTTTTTTTTTTTTTTTT